GGGGGGGGGGGGGGGGGGGTCAAGAACATGTGAGACCTAAAATGATAAGTGTTAATTAGTTTTCTTTTTTCTTTTTTTCTTTTTTGTGATTCAAAATTACTAATTAAATTTTTTCGTATTCTTCTTATTTATTTTATATATGTTTCATCGAAATTATGATATTACATGACTGACTATTATTATAAACACATTTATTGTTATCTTTTTTGTTGAATTATTCTCTTATTTTTAATTTTTTAACATCTTTTACTTGTTTATGTAAGTAACTTTCACCTAATTTTTTGTTATATTTTATTGACTATGGATAACAACGTTATTACTTTTGAAATTAATGTAGTTTTTATTTTGGATCTTTTGTGAGAATGAATAGTGTGGTTGATATTTTTGTGGTTAAATGGCAATAAAAACGAATTTGAGATAAATAGAGAATGTGTTAAATTTATTTTTATTTTGAGAGAGAGAGAAATTTTTTTTTTTATTCAAAGCCACCCAATGTGGGTGGAGGGGTTTGGCAGAATCTCTACTTATATATATAACTAAAAGTAAAAATGTACAAGTGAGGAGGACATAGTCTCCAGAAGTACAAAGTGAGTGGGTCAAAGCAAAAGTAAGATGGTGACTCACCACCAAAAGCATGAAAACGAAGTGGGGACTTCCCACATAACAAAATAACAAAAAATATAAATGAAAATAAAAAATTTACTGACGAACGTGAGGAGTCTGTTAAGCATCCAAAACGAGGATGACAGCAATCCCAAAAGGAATGGATGATGAATCAGAAAATCTTTAATTGAGCTGTTGAAAATAAGCCCAATTAATCACGAAGTCGATAACCTGATTCGCTTCCCGCAAGACGTGACAGACGCGAGCGGAGAGAGAGGCACACAGAAGTCGAATCTGAGCAAGCAAATAAGCATAAACCCAGTACCATAAGAAAAAATTCAAAAAATCACTATAGCTGAATCTGACTCCACTACCAACTCTGAAGCTCCCAAATTTCCAACTAAGCACAAACAGTCTGCATCTCCGCATATAGAATAGGCTGATGCCCCAGAAACAAGCCAAAAATCTTAAGAACCCAACCTTGGTGATCCCGAATAACAACCCCTGCTGCAGACAGTCCCAAACATTTGATAAAAGTGATCCCACACCTGAACTGTAAGCTGACAATCCAAAAAAAGAGGCTTATAATATTTGCTTTGAAAACAATATTGTGATTGTGTGAGGTGGGTTGAACTTTTGGGTCTAAATTTTAAAATTATTTTTGTTGACTTACTCTTTTAAGTCCGTTTGTTTTTTGGAATTAGATTATATATAGTTTTAATTTCTGATCTTACTACATTGTTGATCTGGTAAATTTAGAACCTTATTTTTATATAGAGCCTAAAGTCCGTGTCTTTTTTCCTAAACTGTTCACCCGGCACATAATCAAGACTATCACGTCAATGTCTTGAGCTATGCCCAACACCTCAACTGTTCACCCGGTACTTAATCAAGACTATCACGTCAATGTCTTGAACTATGCCCAACACTGAGCGTTAGTGCTTTCTTCTCCTTAACATCATGGAGTGCAAACCTACTATGTGAAAGAAGTTTTCAAGTTTATTTTGATTCCTTTGTTGTTAGAGTATTTTAATAAAAAAGGTGAGTTGAGGAAAACTCAATTTCACATCGACTAATTTTTAAAAAGCACTTGCATTTATATATTATACTAGTCTAAGTAAAACGGTCATACCAAAAGCATCATCTTTGTTGTGCTACATTATTTGATGATTTTTTTATAGTCTTTTTTAGCTAGTGTAGTATTAAAAAAGTTTAGCACCAAGAGAATTATCACCTTCAAAGCTAATCCTAACCCTTTATGGGAGGTAATTCCCATTCAAAGAAGTGTCACACGCACCAACGTGCAACAGTTAAATTAGGACTTTCACAGTCAGTAGAGAGTTGAACCCACACCCAAAGCCTAAATACGGTTCGCCCAGTCAATAGAGGATTATCTTACTAACCAAACTATACTAACATTTAGAAAATTAAGTACAAAAAATTGTCAAATTTTAAATTTAAAACATCTACGTTTACGGATCTTTCTGATCTCCACTTATTTCTATGCGTGGGGTTAGCCAGTGTAGTATTAGCCGATACACAAGTTGGCAGACACGATTGTTGACTCTTCCATTTGCTGTGTTCATTCATGTTACTGAAATGTAGATGGCGGCGAGACAAATTCATTGCATTGCATACTACTATTTGACACAAAAATACCGGTGTAAGTTTAGTCATAACAGATTTAACTCATCCGCGTTATTGGATTATACCCATTTAATAAATAGATTGACACAAATTCGACTATGCACAATACAAATCGAACTATTTACGACGAGACATAACTTATACAAAATATAATCTCCACTATATATCACTATGATTTTGGGATGTCAACCGTCAAAAAGTTCATTTCGAAAGAAAGAAAAAAGAGTCAAAAAGACATAATATACTTTGAATGAGCTTATCAATTCCAAGCTTAAGTTTTTAGATTGATTGGAGTTCCAAATATGCATATTGGGATTAATGTTGGACATCACAATTAACATGTGTTCTAATAAAGTGGAATCAGAACCAATCATCGATGATCTTTGATGAACTCTCCATGTACTGATGATGGGTTTTTAAAGAAAAAGTTGATGTACTATAGGGATTAGATTCATGTATTGAAAGAACCATAGATTTTGAATGAGCTCATAACTTACAAACTTAATTTTGAGCTGAGTTTGAGTTCCAAAAATGTCAGTTATTCTTCCATTGTAGAAGTAGTCAATTTCTAAGTTTTAAAACATTTAACCCGAGTCTAATCCGAACCCTACAACCAAAGTATTCTTCATACTTAAATCATTGAACTCATGTACAGCTTTGGGTCACAAAACTAAGACTAAAATTCAGGTTCAACTTTGGTTGAAATCAGATATAATTCTCGAATTGCGCAACTCAAACTGAATGTTATGTTAAATTTGGGTTTAATATGAGTACTATATAAATCTGTTCCCCAATATTTTTCTGTTAGCATCAGATTGATCTGTCCAAATTACACCACTACAAGTAATAGTTAAGGGGTGGCCAATGAGTATCTACAGACACTTCAAATAGAAAAAATGAATCCTGAAAAGCATGCTATTTCATGATCCAGGTGACAATTAGGAGAACATTGCTTGAAGAAGACCCAAAAACTCATTCTTGCTGGTTGATTTGTGTACGGAATCCCCGTCCCAAAAAACGAGAATTGGTAAGTATTTTGTGGATTGAAATTTCATCTAATATATATATATATATTTTGTTTCTCTAATGATACACACGTTTTGTGTATTAGTGAGGGACCCATTAATATGTATCTTNTCATCTAATATATATATATTTTGTTTCTCTAATGATACACACGTTTTGTGTATTAGTGAGGGACCCATTAATATGTATCGTCTTTCAATTGAAATCATGGTTCGCGATTTAACATAGATTGAAATTCCAAAAAAAATTATTTCTAGTGGATCCAAATTAATCTCTTACATAATGCACAACAACGATCTAGATTGTCTAGATACGACGACTTAAATTTTTAACTTTTTAATCATAGTAACTCAACCAATATATTAAAAAAAATGCTTTAGACAAGAACACTAATAATTCTATATGTTGGGATTTAATGCACTTTAAACCCACAAAAAACCACACACAATCGAAGAACAAATCAAAAACATAGAATAATGAAAAGTAAGAAAGAACAAGACACACAAATTTTATGTGGTTCATCAATTTGCCTACGCCTACGAAGCTGTAGGGATTTCATTATATCAAAAATGAGAAATACAGATGGCGGCTATACAGTTTCTCTCAAACTCTAATTATTAAAGTAACAGGTTTTTATGTGTCTTGCGCACCGGACTACAAAACAAGCCAAAAAAATTTGTCATTAAAAAATCACGCAATATTATTTCGAGTCAAGTCATCATCCAGATCAACACAAAATTAGACTCCGCAAAAAAAAAAACACTATAAAAACATGTCCTTTAATCAAAATAGCTGTTTAAAATGACTTAATGGTGATAAATGATATAATGGCTTTACAGCTTTTATTGAAGCGTTACTCAAACCACACTTCAAAGTCTACAATGTTCCCCTCATTTGCCATTGAATTGGGGAAACCAAGTCAAATGATATAACACCCCAATAATACTATTTAAATCTAATTTATTTACTTTATTTACTCACTTAATCTATCACATTTACTCAATAAGATACGAATCTCAACCAATAATTAAAGTTCATAAAATAACCCGTCTTTTAAATATTTAGTCAGACCCACTAATCAATCATTCCTTCTATATAGCAAGAAAGAAAAATTAACTCATAACGTATAAATTTATGTCTCCTCTTAATTTGCACATGCGATTTGCGTCATTTGCTTCCTTCTCAAGTCCATAGTGGAGTAAAACGTAGGCGGTGACGAGCTGCTTAATTAATATCACAACCATCAGCCATGCAAACCAAAGACGTCTCTGCAAGGACCAACACTAAACTTTCGCACGTGTCACATTCCACATTTACACTTGAGCAGAAAAAACTACGTGGGAAAAAATAGCAGAGCCTCGTAGTCTTGATTCAATTAATACCCTCCATTAACCACACACC